AGATAGATAGATAGATAGATAGATAGATAGATAGATAGATAGATAGACAGACAGACGGACGGACGGACGGACGGACGGACGGACGGACGGACGGACGGACGGACGGACGGATGGATGGATGGATGGATGGATGGATCTGGCCTCAGACACTAGCTGTGTGATCTTGGACAAATCATTTAACTTTTGTCTGCTTCTATTTTCTCTGTTCCTTCACTTCTCCCTTTTAGTTTCCTTGGATTCCCTCAAGATTTAGCTCAAATCCCATTTTCTGTAGGAAGCCTTCCTGGCTCCCCCCCATCTGCTATCACCTTCCTTTCCCATATCACCTTTCATCCAATAGAGACAGACAGACAGACAGATAGATAGATAGACAGATAGACAAATAGATGATGTAGACATAGATAGATGGATAAATATTAGATATATATGTATGTGCAAATGTGTATTGTATATATGTATGTGTATATATACACACACATATATAATTCACTGTATGTATATATGTATATATAACATATGTATATATATATATATATATATTTTAGTGTACTTAATTATCCTCCATCAGAATGTATGTTTCTTGAGAGCATGTACTGTTCTGGCCTTTCTTTATATTTCTAGTGCTTAGCACACTGCCTGACACAAAATAAATGCTCAGTAAATGCTTCTTGATTGACTTAGGATCATAGACTTGAAGATGGAAATGACATTAGAATTCATCTAATGTGTCCAAATCTCTCATTTTTACAGATATGGAAACTGAGGCTCAGAGAGATTAAAGGACTTGCCCACGGTCACATTATTAGTAAGTGGCAGAATCAGGGACTGAGCTCACATCCTCTGTCTCCAGATGCATTGAGCTTTCCACAATACCACACCACACTGTGTGCCACATGTTGTGTTGTCTAATAGTCCATGAAGACAAGGCCTGCAGCTTCTCTAAACTTTGTAGCTCACCCCATTGCCCAGCTCAGCATAGGCTGAATGAATGAACGTGATTTTGCAAAAATAACATCCTTTGCCAGACCATGTATCCCCATTTTTGGTTCAGAAAATAAGGTCATCATAATGGGAGGCCTCACCTCCCATAACTATCATGAGTAGAAGAGAGAAAAGGCATCATTTCCAGTGCCTAGCCCAGCACCCAGGACACAACTGGCACTTAAGAAATATTGATTGATTAATTGATTTCCTCCCTTTTCTTTACTTCCTAGCCTCTTCCTCCTACCAAAATGAGGGACACTCAAGATTTTGCAATAATCTGTTCCATGGGGAAAACTGGACTCAAGCATGACTTCCTTCAGCCTCCTATTACCCACAAGAAGCAGACAGGGAATATTTTCTCTGTTCTATAAACTCAGTCCAGTGGTACATACGTCCGAAAGCAGAATTAAATACAAAACCCAACATTTGTAAAGCACGTAGAAGCCTGGTGTCAGTAAGGAGCGCTTCCCTCGCAGAGGCATGGGGTAGGCTGAAGGACCCGGGAGTTGCCCTTCCAACTCTGAAAACCTGTCAGGTCGTGAGTCCAGGGGTGACTTTGCAGACCCGCTGGTGCCGAAGAGCCTGCTCCTCTTCTCTGGCTCGCCAGCCTCAGAACCAGCCCAACTCACCTGTACCGGGTGCAGCCTGGTCTTGGTGCTTCCTATTCCTTCCACAGTTGTGACAGCAACATGATGCAGGGAGCAGATGGGGGCCAGGCAGGCATTGGCGGAAAAGTGGCTGGAAACCCGAGTAAAGGATGGTAGGTCTAGACCTGGGAAGGACCTCAAAGGCCGCATACTGCAACTCCCTCATTGTACAGATGAGGAAACTGAGACCAGGGACGTTATATGACTTGTCCAAGATCACACAGATTAATAAAGAGTCCGAGGTAGGACTTGAACACAGAACCTAGGTCCTCTTCTTTTCATAGCATCACATCACATACTCTCTCTCTCTCTCTCTCTCTCTCTCTCTCTCTCTTTCTTTCTCTCTCTTTCTCTCTCTCTCCCCTTTTCTTCCTCCTCTTCTTCCTTTCTTAGTCTCTCCTTCCCCTCTCTCCTCCTCCTATCTCTTTCTTTCTTTCTCTTTCTCTCTCTCCCTCTCTCTCTCAGTCTCTCCTCTATCTCTCTCCATGTTTCCCTCACTTGTCCCTTCAGCTTTTGCCTTCTTCCTTCCCCCTCCTCCTTCCTTTCCCTTCGTCCTTCTCTTTCTTTTTTTCTTTCTTTCTTTCCTCCCTTCTTCCCTCCCTTCCTTCTGTCCTCCCTTCTTTCTATCCTTCCTTCCTTCTATCCTTCCTTCCTTCCTTCTTCCTTCCCTCCTTCCTTTCTTCCAAAGATCAGAGGTAACCCTGAAATAGCCTATTACAATTGCAGAATCTCAGAGTTGGAAAGCACCTCAGCAACCATCTAGTAAGGGGGAATGCAGTGTCTCCAGAGACAGCTCCTTTCACTTTGAGACAGCTCTAATTATTGGGAAACTTTTCCTTAAGTTCCTCAGTCACTTACTAGCTGTGTGACCCTGAGCAAGTCACTTAACCCTACTTGCCTCTATAAAATGAGTTAGAGAAGGAAATGACAGACCACTTCGGTATGTCTGCCAAGAAAAGCCCAGATGGGGTCACAAAGAGTCAGACATGACTGAAATAACAAAACAATAACAAATCTGTTTATTTGTAACTTCCACCCATGGCTCCTAGTTCTATCCTCATGGCCAACCAGACTCACCCTAACCCCTCTTTTTTATGACTGTCCTTCAAATTTTTGAAGATAGCTGTCATGTCTGCCCCCACTCCCAATACACACACGCACATGCACACACATATGCACACACTCACACATTCTCATTTTCAGGCTAAATATTCCACGTTGCTTCAATCAGTCCTCATGCATGTGTACTATCACAGTCTTGAGACCCTTCATCACCCTTGTTGACCTTTTTTGTCATAGACACACACATACATGAGACCATACTTGAGTCCTGGCAGCCACTCTAATAGGCAAAGGATACACAATTTTGTTCTGGAGCCGATCAAACTTGGACAGCATCACCGTGCAGGCCCCACAGCCACCTTCTCCACAGCCAAGCTTGGTCCCGCTTAACCCCACTGGGAGTGCAACAGTCAAGGAAAAGAAATACGATGCAAGGGGGTCCTTTTTGCTACTCAGCCCCTGGACATGCTTGAACAGATTAGGCACCTGAGGAGTCACCCACCTAGGTCACAGGGCTGGGACACTACATATACAAGTGCTCTACCTTCCCTCATATAGGAAGGGAGAGAGCCAAAGCTCTTGAGTAATATTCCCACTGTTAATCAGCGATGACTCACTATTTCTGGAATACATCAGGGAAAGAGCCATCCCTATTTCATAAAGAAGGAAATTTAAAGAGAAAATGTCACCAGCCAGTTCTGTGGGACACTGATGCAATCTCTCCAGACCCATTACCAGATGTGGGCGGTTCTACAGCCCCTCTCCACATGAAGTTTGGATAGTCCTAATAATAATCATCACAGGATCATAGATTTAGTGCCAGAATGGATTTTAGTAGTCATTGAAATCTTTGAGCTGTGCCTCAAGTCAAAACCCAGGACAGTGTGTCTACCAGGCACTGACTGAAAAGAAGGCTGAATGACCTATAGCTGTAGGCCCTGAGTTGTAGCCTACAAAAGGCTTAGCCCAGTCACCTCCCTACCCACTTGTCAATGTCCTTCCTCCAGAGGAGGCGCTGGTCTGGATGGATAAACGGAGCTCTTCATGCGGAGATTTCCACATTGATGTAATCATAGGTATGGTTAAAAAAAAAGATGTATTTTGTATTTACATCATCATCATCATCATCATCAACTACATAGCTAACTTCTACAGAGAGCTTACTATGTGCCAGGGGCATCTAGGTGGCACAGTGGATAGAGTGCTGGGCCTTATTTCAGGAAGACTCCTCTTCATGAGTTCAAATCTGGCCTCAGATGCTTACTTAAGTAAGTGATCCTGGGCAAGTCATTTAACCATGTTTGCCTCAGTTTCCTTATTTGTAAAATGAGCTGGAGAAGGAATGACAAAAAAACTCCAATATCTTGGAAAAAAAAACCCCAAATAGGGTCATAAAGAGTCAGACATCACTAAAATGACTGAACAAAAATGTGTCAGGTACTGTGCTAAGTGCCTTACAATCATTATTTCATTTGATCTTTACAGCAACTCTTAATTTCCTCTGGGCATACTATGTATGTGTGGGGGGTCACATCAATGGCAATTAGAGGAAGTCTATAAACTAGGCAGAGCAAGCCCCCAGGATGGCAGATGACAACATGTTTACAAAGATTGAACTGCTACTATTCTGTCTTTCTTCGATACCATTTCTAATAGAGCAAAGGACACCAATTATTCCGCATCCCCACTTGGGCTGTCCCCTGGGGGTGACCCAAACCTGCAACCTGTCCTCCCAGGCTCTGCCCATCTAGACAGCTGACAGGCCCATCATTGCCTCCCTCCCCCCATTTCGGTTAACAATGCACTTCCATCATTCTCAACTAGCATAGGTCGGGATATGTGCATATTGCTAGACCAAAGTTCACCAAAAAGGGCCCTTCTCTTCCCTAGAGATGTATTCTTTGTGAAGTGAACAAAGGCTAAAGGGGGCACCCTTTCTGATCTATTAGCTTGAAGGCCCAAAATTTAAACTTTTATATCCACAGAATCACGGACAATTAGAGCTAAAAAGGATTTTAGAGGTCATCCAGGCCAAACTAACTTTCCTCAGACCCCAGCATCCTCTACCCCATACCATGCCTGGCCATTTTCCATAGGACAAAAACAGAAGGGTTATGACTTGCTCAAGGTCGCATAGCTAGTCAATGGCACAGCTGGGACTAGAGTTCAGGTGTCACCCCTGCCCCATCCTTCCTCCCCTCAGAAGTCTAAAGGCTAAGCCTTTTCCTCCTCAAGCTTCAAGGGTACGTTTTCTTCTCAGGTAAGACAACAGTGTTGTCTCTGGATCTGCATTCTTCTCCACCACCTATAAAAGAGGGGGAAATATATCACGTTGGGCATTCAGACATGTAATGTTTTGTTTGAATTAGTCAGCAATTCAATATTTATTAATCTCCTACTGCATGTAAGGAACTGTGCTAGCCACTAGGAATAGAATGGCCAAAATAAAATATCTCTTGCCTCCAAGAAGCCCATTTGCTGTTGGCAGGATTGTGGTTTGTCCTTCATTCTTGATGAGGACCACGACATCAAGAAGATGATGTCATGACTTGCAAATGAATTGGATTTAAGTGAGGGAGGGCTATACAAAGTCACCAGCTTTACTTTGTCCTCCAGAGTCATCTAGGTCCAGTGGCCAGACACAGTTCAGGACAACTAGAGATGGCCCACAATGCTGTGGAAGACCTTTTAAGCTAAGGTCTTTCAGAGTTCTCACTTTGACTGAGGCAATGCCCATTTAGTGATTAGGGCTGTTTAAGAAGTGAGCCAAGGAATGGCCACTTTAATCCAAAATAAAAAAAAAATCAAACTGGGAGGGGAAGCCCCTCAGGGTTTTGGCTCAAAGTGAATGTAAATAGTAATTGTTTCTCTTTTGGCCAGACCTTGGCTTAAAAAGGCCAAGGTCTCCCACAGCGTTGTGAGCCATCTCCAGTTGTCCTGAACTATATCTGACCACTGGACCCAGGTGACTCTGGAGGACAAAGTGAGGCTGGTGACTTTGCACAGCCCTCCCTCACTTAAATCCAATTCATTTGCAAGTCATGGCAACATCTTCCTGATGTCATGGTCCTCTTCAAAAATAAAGGATAAACCACAACCTGCAAGTATTCTGAGCTGCCCACTGGGGACCCAACTGGCCAGTTTCAGTTGGGCAACTCAGCAACTGCTTTCCTCTGCTTTCCTCTCTCCACATGGGGTATCATGACCTCGCCTGAGGGTAATCTACCCAAAAGAAGGTAAATTTTGAAAGCTGAAACCTACCTAGATATCTTAGGATTTGCTGGCTAGGTTTCTTTCTTAAAGGCCATATCTTAAAACCAATTGGCAGGATACAATATGCACATATAACTAAGAGGAGAATGAAAGTGAGTGAGGGTACCAGCAACACTAGTAAGAGAGTGAGGAGAAAGAGAATCAGGGAAGGCTTCAAAGTAGAGGCAGAAACAGAAGGAAAACTTAAAAGAAGACAAGGACTTTGAGGGGCAGCGTGAGGAGAGCATTCCAGGCAAGGGGTCTATCTTGTTCTGGGGCATGAAGGCACAAGATAGGGTACTAATATGGGGGAGCAGCTAGTAGTCTAGTTTGGTTGTAAAGCCAAGTTTGTAAAAATGGATTAGTGTGAATTTAGGCTAGAAATGTAGGTGGGAGTCAGAATCTTAAATGTCAAACTGAGACTGTATTTTAAGCCTATTGGATATGGGGATTCTGAAAACTTTTAGTCAAGGGGATGACCTAGTTAAACCTGTGCCTTTAGGAAAATTTTAAGGGTAGCAGTCAGGGGTATGCAGGAGCCAGCCAGACTAGCTCATGCTGATTGTTAAATTTTCAGTGTGAGAATGTCAGCTACAATTCAGGGCTTGATATATTGTTTTCTTGATTGCCTAGACTTAAGAAAGGGATGAAAAAAAGGGATGAATAATCCAGATTAAACAAGTGTATCAGAGAACCTGTTGTTAAACATTTACCATCACACCCCTTGGGCAGTTGTGTGGAAGAAGGGTAGATTGCAGACCATGCAGGGAGACCAACCCAATTGCAATAGTCTAGGTGAGAGATGATGAGGGCTGAACTATGGTGGCAGGCCTGTGAGGAAAGGGAGGGGGACTGATGTGAGAGATGTGCAGTGACATTGACAAGATTTGGCATTTGCCTGGATGTGGGGCACGTGGGGTAAGGGAAAGACTCAAGGTATTAAACAAGAATTTGAAAGGATCGTTGGGGTACAAGAAGTCAAGCTAAAGCTAGGAGGATATCTCTAAAGGTTATAGAAGAATTAACATATTAAATAAGTATAAGGAATTCTCAGCCTTAAATTCTTAATGCCAAATTGGCTCATGGTGCTGAACATTCTGCAGCATTTAAAATTATGTTATTCCTCCCCAGACCTGCTACTTTGCGTAAAGTCAAAATCCCTCGTAGACCACACCTATAAATTTCAGGGATGTCAGATAGCAACATCGGGAAGGAAGCTAACCTAGCACAATTATAAGATCATGGATTTAGAGCTGAGAGCGACTTCAGAGGTCACCTAAAATAACTCCTTCATAATTTGAGTTGAATAACCTGTCTCTGTAGGAGACAGCCAGGCTTCTGGCCTTCAGGAGAAGTACAGCTTTATTGATAGTTAGATGTTACAGTCAGACACCAAAATTTGCTAGATTTTAGGGAAAGAATTTCAAGTCTAGGATTTTGTGGAAAGCATGTGGTAGAGATGCTTAATAATCTCTTGCTGAGAGAATGACTTGGTTTGTCCTAGGCTAAAACTCAGGCAGCCCAATGTGTAGTCCCTTATGAGCTGTCTCCTGGCCTACATTAACAACCTCCTAAATAGTGATCTGGGCTCTACCTATTCTTATCCAACCTACTCACCACTTTCAGCTTAATCTTCCTAAAGCACCATTTTGATCATCATGCCCTGTTCAAAAACCTTTAATTGATGCCCATTTTACTCTGTTAAAATCCAAATTCCTTAGCCTGACATTCAAAGCCCTCTACAATCCATCCACAGTCTACCTCTTCCAACCTCATGTCCCATTACTTGCCTACATGACAGCTATATTCCAAAACGACAGGTCCAACATTCCCCAAGAACAATGACTACTTTCCCACCTCCATGCGTTTATTCATGTAGTTTCCCCCACATGAGACACCTTCTTCACCTCCTCATTGTTCAAAGCCCAACTCAAACTATCACTCTTCTTTTATACCTTTCCTGAATAATTTATCCAGCTAGAAATATTCTCTCCCTCCTCTGAAAGAAACTCCACTGTCCATACCACTCTGTGGCATCCATCACATACTGCTTTTACTGCAGAGATCTGTGTATCTGTATTGTAGTCAACTAGAGTGGAAACTGTTTATATCTTTTATGCCTCTCTAGGTTCCACAATAATTAGCACAGTACTATACACAGAATAAAGATTCAGATAGTGAAGTAGTAAAAGATGAACCTGAGTTCAAATTCTCACTCAGACACTAGCTGCATGATCCTGGGCAAGTCATTGGATCTTCTCTCTTTGGGAGCCTCAGCCAACCTGAGCCCAGTATACTATAACTTTTAGAAAAGATTTCTAGCTCCATGAGTTCCCCCAGAGATCTAAAACTCCACTGAGGAGAAATACTGGCTATTTAGAAGCATGTTTATCCTGAAATTGCAGGATCTGTAATTTTGTCACTGTTGATACCCCCTCCACAGAAGCAGATCACAACCTCACTCTGACCTAGCAGACAGTCATTGAAAGTCACTGTGTTCAAAAAGTCTCATCCCCTTGCAGCAAACCCCATGATGCTACTTCTGTGAACTTAACTAGGCAACATGATAAGTGACTGTCTATCACCAAGTCTGCACTTGAAATATTTCCAGTTTTGTACGGCCAGACATACCATATGCCTCAGAGAACTTTGGCAAGGCTTCTTAACCTGCGTTCCAGGAATTTGTTTTTTAATATGTTGATAATTATTATTTCGATATAATTGGCTTTCTTTGTAATCCTATGCATTTTGTTCTATATGCTTAAAGTCATCCTTCTGAAAAGCTTCCATAGGCTTCACCAGACTATCAAGAAGTCCCTTTATTTAAAAAAAAGACCTTAGGAACCTAGGGCAGGTCCCTAGGGTAACCTTCATGCCACCATGAGGTGTCAGAGTAGGGCTTTAGTTGAGGAATGAAGGCACAGAAAGCTCTTAAGACATGTTTGTTAACAGACAAGCAGGACAGCTTTGAAAGCAACTTGTTAAAATTATTATACCCTTTTTTTAAAGGTAAACTGTGTGCAATAGAGTCACAGCTTTATATATCCTCCTTTTCTGTTCTATTTGCCATATAAAAACATTTTCTTCTTTGGTGTTCATCAAGTACAGAACTTTAAAAATTAAGCTCTTTTTTTTAAAAATGCACAGAAGAGAACTGAAGGAAAGCTAAAAGGAAAGACAAACAGGACAGCTTTGAAAGTTACATATTGACTTATTACATATTTAAAAGGAAAACCAAACTGTATGTAATTCTATTTCACATATAGAAATGTTCGGCTCATTTAGTGCTTGTTACATTCAGAATTTTGAAAATTTTTAACTTAAAGAAATGTTAAATTAATTGCCTTAATCAAACCACACCTGGAATATCGTGTTCATGTCTGTGTGCCTTATTTTAACAATGACAACCTAAAAGGTGCTCAGAGGAGAATAACCCAGGTGTTTAAGAGGAAAGGAGACTGTCCATGTAAGGATTAATTAAATCTTTGGATGTTTATAGCCCAGAAAAGAGAAGACTCAAGGGAAGGCATGACAGCTGCCTGTCCTGGAGAAGACAGTATGGGAAGGAAGTGAGCAAGCATTTTAGTAAGTTATTGCAGGGACTGTGTTAAGTGCTTGACAAATATCTCATTTGATCCTCACAACAATTCAGGGAAGTAGATGTTATTATTATCTCCATTTAATAGTCGAGGAAACTGAGGCAGACAAAGTTTAAATTAATTTGCCCAGTGTCACACTGCTAATAAATGTCTAAGACTGGATTTGAACTCAGGTATTCCTAACACCAGGCTTAGCAAACTGTATCCTTTGCATACCCAGCTACCTGAGCAGCATCATAGTTTAGTGGAAAAACTATTGGATTGGGAGTCAGTCAGAGGGCTTGGGTTCAAATCTCAGCTTTGTAATTTACAACTTATGTAATCTTGGGTAAGTTACTTAACTTCCCTGGGCCTCAGTTTCCCCATCTGTAAAACAAGGGGGTTGATCAGAGAATCTCGGTGGTTTTTCCCTCTCTAAATCTATTATCCTAAGAGTCATCATAAAGACAAACTAGACTTATTTGACTTGGATCTGAGAGCAGAGCTGGAGGACCTAATGAGTGGAAGTACCAGAGAGATAGATTTGGGGATCAATGCAAAGGAAAAAGTTAAATAAAATATTAAGCACTGCCCCAAATCAGAAGGGGCTACAGTAAATTTCCCATTACTGGAGGCCTTTTCAAACAAAACTGGGAGAATCTCTTGTCTAGAATGTTGTACAGGTGGTTTCTGATCCAGGATGAGTCTGACTAGATGACCTGAAAGGTCCCTTCCACCTCTGTGATGTCTAGACTCACTTGCAACCTTTATTCATTTGGGGATGAATGGGGGAAACCAGCAAACTATGTGCTCTGAGAGAAGCATCTTCATTTGCTATAGCAGGGCAGCTCCACACACCTCCACAACTAGGAGGCAGAACTTGTTGTTCACCTTTGCATGTGTGATTAGAACCAAGACTGCTGTGGATGTTTTACTATTTAAAAATAATAATAAAATAAAAATATATGTGGATATGTTGATATATCGATAATTATGTTTGTATTTTGCAAGACAATGCATTCCTTTTCTTGATATACATTTATATATATTAGAATGTATTTATTATATAATGTATTATTGCACAATATATTAGCATTTATATATGTATATATGTATATATTATATATGTACACATATTTTAGCAAGACTGTGTTTCTTTTCTTGATATATGTATCTACAGCTAATATATTACAGTGCATTTATTATATAATACACATTATTACATTATATGTTAGCATTTGCAAACATGTGCATATATATACATGTGTATATATACACAAATGTGTACATATACATACATAATACATATATACATATATACATATATATTATATATATATATATATTAGCAAGACAGTACATTTCTTTTCTTGGAAACAGCAAAGGCAGCCAAGCAATTGGAAGTCATTGCTTGGAATGCCCCCACTCCACTTCCTCCTCCTTCCTTGAATCCTTCATTTCCTTCTCAATCCAGCACAAATACCACTTTCTATCTCAAAAGTTTGTCCTCCCTCCTAAACCTTGGCATTTAACTTATAATTATTCTTTATATTCTTCATATGTATGTGGTAATTCTTCTTACAGGGATATAAGGCCCTTAAGTAAAAGGACTATCACATTCTTTTCTTTGTATTTCTAGCACACAGTAGGTACTATAATAAATATTTTATTGCTGTAAAAAAAAAACAACCCTGGGAGATAGGTGCTATTATTATCCCCATTTTACAGGTGAGGAAACTAAGGCAGACAGAGGTTAAGTGACTTACCCAGGATCATACAGATAGTGATATCCAATCCTTTCCAATTATTGAGTATTTTCAAATAAACACTAAGACATAGGCTGTTCCCAAAGGTTTTGTATGTGTAACACTCCTGTATTTAAATCTACATAAGTAGATGTATATAGGGAGTTATTTTAACAATATAAACATTTTCTGGCAGGTGTTCCCATCTGTTCAGTGAAACAAAATAAGGAATAGCTCCTCTATGAAAGGCAGTGTTAAGTTATAGAAAGAATAGAGGATTTGGAGTCAGAGGAATTGGTTTCATTTCCCACCTCTGGCACTAACTAGCTGGGTGACCTTGGGCAAGTCACTTCTGTAAAATGAGGGTCTCGTGGGACTAGATGATTTCTAAGGTACGTTCTAGCTCTAAATCTAATTTTTTTCTTTCCACCCCTCACCCCCCAAAAAGAACAGATTTTAGGCAGATGGTTCATGGTCTTTCAACTATATGATCTCCCAGTCTAGCCCCAATCCTTTTGAGTTTTCCTGGGTCACTGCCTAGCTCTGATCTTGAGCCCACCCTCCTTTTCCTGCCAGTCAAGAAGCTCATGGTCCCTAAAGCTGCCCAAGAATCAGTCTTTGAACCTGGTGGCAGCAGCCACTTGTAGGCAGGTAAGCCCTCCCTTTGGAGCAAGATGGAGGGGAGGCCTAGAGAGAAAACTTGTCCTTCCCCCACTTCCTTAAAAAGAAAAGACCAAGATGGAGAGGAAGTGGGTGTATCCCATTCTCTGACTGGTTGCAAGTGAGCACATAGCAAGAAGCTTGTAGTTGACGGTAATTCTCCAAAAGGGAAAAAGCCAAACAGGCCTGCAATAAGCTAAGAAGCATTGTTTAATGGCTGGCTAGAACTCCACCCTAAATGGTCCTCCCTTTTCTTTGATATTTTGAAAGCAAAGACAATGTTCTCAAACCCAACCTAAGATCCTTCTCTGCTCCACCTTCATTTTATACATCCATGAATATATACACATGTATATACATTCACATGCAAACACACATAAGAATCTCTTCAGCCACCCACGATAGAAGTCCTGGACCTCTTAGGAACTTTTAGGATTTAGAATTAAAAGGACCCTTAGAGATTATCTTATTCAAATCCCTCATCTTATAGGTAAAGATAAAAAGGCCTCAGGGGGTGATGAGACTTGCCCAAAGTCACACCAGCAGTAAGGGGTAGAATCAGGATTTGAACCAGGGCCCTCTGAGTCCCCATACAACAGCCTTTTCCACTACCTTGGTCTGTATGGCAGATTTGATTAGAATGTTACCCTTCCTCCCAAACAAACTTCCTATCTTTATCTTATTTTCTTGTCCCCAAGTCTCCCTTGTCCCCAGAATGTTTTCCCTGCAATTTAGCCCAGAAAAACTTAGACTTCTTATAAAAACTTAGCACCAGTTCTGTGAGCACCCAAGGAGAGAAAAACAAAAGTCCAGTCGAGTACACACACACACACACACACACACACACACACACACACACAGCCAAAGGTCAGACCCTTACTTACCTTTTTGCCATTGACAAAGAAAACCAATTCATCAGGTGCCATGGCCATGGGCTGAGGTCCCTGTGCTGCCCACACCTCACCCTTGGGCCACCTCTCACAGCTGCCTTTGCTGTGCACCACCAGAAACACCTCGTCTCCAGATGCAATTTAGTTCAAAAATGAAACTAAATCAGCCCGTGACTAACAGGCACTGAAAGTTCTTGGCAAGAGCCTCTACTGTTTGCATAATCTCCACCAATCCTACACAGCCATTTCCTGACCCACTGGCATGTCATAGGAGCTCCAACCAGACCACATATAGAGATTCCGGGGCAGCCTTGGGACAGGGCTGGATTTCTCATCCCCTGTCCACACCTACCCTGCTTTATCCTTCCTCACCACTTTAGCTATTGCAGGGCAGGACTGAAGGTGGGGCCAGGGAGGCCTCCTGACAGATGAAGCTGATTCTAGTATCTGACTGCCCACATTTACCGGTGTTTTCTAGCCTGAAGAAACACAAACTTCCGTCAAAGGCCAACTAAAGCCCTTCTTTGTCTTTTTGTTCTCAGACACAGAGTAGGTACTTATTGTTAAATAAAAGAGATTCTGCAGGAGAATCTCAACATTTTTAAACAAGTTGTTCCCCTGAAACTTGAGAGCTATAGTGAGGGGAGTAGCAGACAGAGAGGCCTCAGAGTCTGAAGACCTGGGCTCAAAAATAAGCTCTACCATTTACCGACTGCACGATCTTGAGCAAATCATTTAACTCTCTTGGATTGTTGCCTAATCTGCAAAACAGGGATGATAATAAAAATAATTCCAGTAAAAAAACCTCATAGAAATGTGAGGATCAATGATATGTATAAAAACCTATATATGTGAAATGTTTTAATGATTTTTTTCAGAAGGTGCCTTAGCAGTTTAAAAACAACAGCAAAAAACCCAAACCCAAAACAAAACAAACCTCAACAACTATGAATTTTGACACGCTATCTTTTTTTCCTCCCCTCATCTGGACCCATAAATGTGTGGAAGTTCCTTTTGCCAATACAGGTTGGCAACTGTCTGTAACTTATCATGTGGCATGGAGAACTGGAGCATCTTGACAGAAAGTCAGAGGCAGAATGTGAACCCAGTTCTTCCAGACTCTAAGGCTAGCTCACTATCCACTACATCATGCTACTTATATCACATATAAGGAGAAATTCATCCAGTTAGGCGTTGCATCTCCTTCCATAAGCAGCACAGGGCTCCCCTTCCCCTGTCCTGCTTGAGTGAGAGCCTGGTAACATATACATACATACGTGTATAGAAGGAATACCCAATAGGGCATAGAGAACTAGCCTCAGAGTAGGTGCCAGTCTGCATTGGTGGGGTAAGTTTCCTTACTGAGCTCTCCCTACACAGATAAATCACATTATATAACTTGTCACCATCATTATTGCTGTTGTTATTGTTATTATTAGGACTGAACTTATTATTTCATCTGTGTAGGGAGCTTCCAGTACAGACCGGCACCTACTCTATCCACTGTTGAGGAACATCAAATAGGAACAGAAAGCGTGTGATTAATTATTAACATTATATATAACATTATTTTATGTGATCCTCTCAACAACCCTTTTTTGAGGTAGGGATGGGAGTTGTTATTATTACCTCCCTTTAACAGATGGAAAAATTAAAGGCTAAGAGACTTTGCCCAACGTAGCTCTCAGGGGTGTGGTCACTCTCATTCAAACTTCCTAAGGTTTCTACTGATACTTAACCTGTCCCTAATTAAAGGACCAAAAGCTGTAGCAATAAAGGAGAAAGACCATTTTTTATATCATGTACTCATAAAACCCTCTCTTATTGAGGATAATTGAATTCCAATTAGGGTTCACTCGTATTCACTCACATATAAACAATAAGGTGCTTAATTAATGCTTATTGATTGGGTGGTGGATTGAATGGAACAAATTTTAACCCTCCATTGTCTTCCAACATCTGTCACAGTCCTTAGTATCTCACCCTCTCCTCACCTCTACCATCTTGTATATTTGTTTATAATGTTACCGGTATAATGTTTCACAGGTATTTGGGCATGGGACAGGGTTGTTCCGAGAAGCATGATAGGTAGAGAGGATGAAATAGAGGCTTAAAAAACAGTCTTCATTTAAAAGGCTTTAGATCCACTTTATTGACCCTTCACCTCAGGGGAAAGTAGAGAAATAAAGTATCTGGTAAATATTTGGTATTTTCTCTGTGGCATATGTTCTCTGCCTGGCTAATCTCTCCACAGGAACAACTTTGCTTACTGATTCCAGTTCATAGCAAGCAAGGATTGAGAGACGAGGGTGTGTTTCCTTTCTATGTGTGTTTTTTCATTGAATAGAGCACCAAGAACTGCAAGACAAGGATGGGATACTTCGAGTCCACTGGTGTCCAGACTTTGGAGGGCACTGAAAGCCAGAAAGAACAAAGGGAAGATAAACTTGGAGTCCAATGATTCCAAGGAATCTCAACCAATGACTTGGCTGGGCTCTGGCTTTCTAAACAGTCCATAAGGACATTCTGGTAAAGTATATTGTTAGATGATGGCAACAGCAGTTTAAAGACAAACAATTTGGAAAGACGTAAGATCTCTGATCAATGCAATAACCGGCCATGATTCCAGAGGACAGAAGATGCAGCATGATACTAATATCCTGACAGAGAGGTGATGTTCTCAGGATTCAGAGTGATACACACACACACACACACACACACACACACACACACACACACACACATATGGACAAAGCCAATGAGTGAATTTGTTTTGCTTGACTATGCATATTTATTACAAGGGTTTTGTTTGGTTTTTTTTCTTTTTTCCCCAATGTGGAATTGGAAAAGGTGAGAGGATAAGAAAATTAATGCTTATTTATTTTTTCAAAGTAAACTAATAATTAAAGTTACATAAAAATAAAATACATTGCCACAGCTGTAACTAGCATGGGGTAACCAGGACTTTTCTCCAGGGTGCTGAATCAAGAGAGTGCTGATAGTTATCTGTATTCCTTTACCATCAGTAGAAACAACAGTGTTTAGTACCTAGTTAGTGAGAATAATTCACTAAAATAGTAAACTGTCAGATAGTTGTCTGTGGTACACTCCCCCACCACTCCATGCTGTTCCTTTATAGGCATTTCACCCTACCTCCATCACTCCCTTGTTTCACACTGATATCCCAGCATCTCTGCCTCCTCCACATTCAACTGAAAGTGTGTTTCACACTACTGGTCCTACGGATGGCTTGTGGTACTTTCCCCAGGAACAAAAACTTTCGGTCATAGCTCTGCCTGTCGTACTGAGATCAACCTGCAGTGCAAGTGACCTTGGGGATGTGCATGGTTTCACCATAGAATCCTTCAACACTAATAGTTGTAAAAAATGCAAAAGAAGGTCATCTAGCCGTACCAGGTCTCAAACTCTATTACAAAGCAGTAATAATCAAAAAACCTGGTACTGGTTAAGGAATAGAATCATGGATCAATGGAATAAATTAGGTACAAATTACATTGTGGTAAATGACCATAGTAATCTAGCATATGATAAACCCAAAGATCCAAGCTTTTGGAACAAAAAACTCATTATTTGACAAAAACTGCTGGGAAAACTGGAAAACAGTACGGCAGAAAGTTGGCATAGAGTATATATGTCAACACCTTACTCCACATACCAAAATAAGGTTCGAAATGGGTACATAATTTACACATAAAAGGTGATACCATAAGCAAATTAAGAGAGCATGGAATAGTTTGTCTGTCAGATTTATGGATAAAGGAAGAATTTAGGACCAAAGAAGGTATAGAGAGCATTACAAAATGTAAAATAGATCATTTTGATTATATAAAATTAAAAAGGTTTTGCACAAACAAAACCAAAGCAACCAAAACTATACAGAAAACTAGGGAAACAATCTTTTCAGCAAGTATCTCTGATAAAGGCCTCAATTCTCAAATCTATAGAGATCTGAGTCAAATTTATAAAAATACAAGTTATTCCTGAATTGATAAATAGTTAAAAGATATGAACAGACAGTTTTCAAAGAAATCACAGCTATGTCATATTTTTAAAAATGCTCTAAATCACTATTGATTAGACAAATACAAATTAAAACAACTCTGAGGTACCACCTCACACCTACCAGATTGGCTAATATAACAAAAATGGAAAATGATAAGTGTTGGAGGGGATGTGGGAAAACTGGGACACTAATGCACTGTTGGTGGAGTTGTGAACTGATCCAACCATTCTGGAGAGCAATTTGGAATTATGCCCAAAGGGCTATTAAACTGTGCATACCCTTTGATCCAGCAATACTACTGCTAGGTCTATATCCCAAAGACGTCCAAAAAAGGGAAAAGGATATATTTTTACAAAAGTATTTATAGCAGCTCTTTTTGTGGTGGCTAAATTGAAAATCAAAGGGATATCCATCAATTGGGAATTGACTAAACAAGCTATGGTATATGATTGTAATGGAATATTACTGTGCTGTAAAAAATGACAAACAGAATGATTTCAGAAAAACCTGGAAAGACTTAATGAACTGATCCATAGTGAAGTTAACAGAACCAGGAAAACTTTGTACACAGTAACAGCAATATTGCTCGATGAAGAGCCGGGAATGACTTAGCTATTCTCAGGTATGCAATGACCCAAGACAATCCCAAAGGACTAATGAAGAGGCATACTATCTACTTCCAGAGAAAAAAATTTATATTGGTTGAATACAGACTGAAGCATGCTATTTTTCACTTTCTTCTTTCATTTTTTTCTTTTGAGTCTTCTTGTACAAAATGACTAATATGGAAATGTTTTACATAATTGCACGTGTATAACTGATATATGATTGCTTACCATCTTAGGGAGGGAGGAAAGGAAGGAAGGAGGGATATAATTTGGAACTCAAGGCGTTAAATAAAAATGTTAAAAAAATTTAAATGGTCATAGTTATGGTTACTGACTTATATGCATACATATACACATATATGCATATACATATACATATATACTTATATGCATATATATACATATACATATACACTTATATGCATATATATACATATATGTGTATATATATATATATGTCTTTAGCATTTACAAAGTGGTCTGCATATAGTATTTCATTTGAGCATCTTAACAACCTCAAACAGGGTATACTACTGGTCTAATTATCCTATTTTACAAGTAAGGAAACAGAAGCTCTTTCAAGCCACCCCTGCTGTTCTCCCAGAGGAAATTTAATAAATAAATAAACCCTGATCATAGTCACCCTCATTTATACTAAATATACTAATACCTATCATTTATATATTGTTCACTATATGCCTGGCACTGTGCTAAGGGCTTTACAATTATTATTTGATTCTTACAACTA